TACACCCAGTGTGTCCTCTGAACTCTAGGAAATAAATTTGGAAAGAAATTCAGAGTCATTTCTTTACGATGGTCATTGTTGTGCGCCTGAACAATGTAAATCGCGGGCCCGGCCCTGTCCCTAAAAAGCGTGGGCACCCGGAGCTCATTTCAACACGGCACCGACTACTCGTTGTTCGTGACCTCTGTCCGAAATAGAGGAACGCTTTATCTTACGGGTTCTCATCGGTGCAAGAGATCATCTTACCGACATTTAAGATCACGGTCCTATGGGCGGGGGTCCTTGATGTGACCTACAGCCAGCCCTTTGGACCCGTCATCTATTTCATTGGGCCGTTGATTTTTGGTCTCGTGAGACACTTCGGTCTCTCTTCGGGCTTCCTCGAACACCGCTGCGATTTGGTGCCACTTGTCGCCAAAGGATCCTTGTTCGGTATTGTGGCCTCTATTCGGCACAGTGGCCCTTCGCCATGTCATTGACCTCGAACATTGAAAATCGTCGGCCTCGTTTCTGCTTGGGCTATGGGTCTCAGTGGCTCAGACGGACATGGAGCCAACTGTTCGATGTTCGCAGTCTGCGACCGACTTGGACAAACGCATTGTCTCAGGTGTTCCTAAAACGGTTCAAGACGATCTCTGACTGGTATTTCAGGTCGCGAAAGAATTGCGACCCTAAAGGTCGCGATTCTTTATGTGACTTACAGCCAGTCGTTCGATGCGTTGTGCCCTCCAACTCCAAGGGTACCAACTCCAACAACGTTGAGCCTCTGATCGTCGGTTTTGGTCGGTCCCCCGGGGCTCCTCTTTGGACCTCGCCGAACACTTCCCTTGCTTGACTCGGGCCCTTGCGAGCACAGGGCCCTCTGTGGAGCGCTGTGGACTCTTGACAGATTCAAGGTCCCCGACCAGTGTAAATCACTGGCCCCGGCCTTACAGTTGATTAGGAAGGGGGTCCTCAGGCCCATGCCGACACGGGGCCGACTTTGTGGTACGGTGATGCCTGGCCAACATATAGGTTCATATCGACTCAAGGGGTCCCCGGTCGGTACAAAGGGCTTCTGACCGTTATTTGTGTGTCCGTCTTCGCAGGTCGGTGCTCCAGAATAAGACTCCAACCAGTCCTGTATGCCCCAGGACCCTCCAATCTGGCAGTTGATCGTCGGACCCGGCGGGCACTTAAGGCTCTTCGGGTCTCCTCGAACACTGCCTCCGGCCGACTCGGGGTCCCTTGACAGCACAGGGCCCCTGTTAGACGCTCTGTGGCCCGAGCGATGTAAATCGCTGACTCCGGCTTTGTCCCTGCTTGGGAACTGGGCGTTTAGACCCATGCCGCCACGTAGCCCACTGTGCGTTGCCGGTGGCATCTGACCGAAATATAGGCCCTTATCGATTCAGTGGGTCCCTGATCAGCGCGCAGGGCCCTCTGGTTGGCATTGGAGTGCCCGACCCTGCGGGCCGCGACCCCTGAATGAGGCCTTCGGCTGGCCTTCAGGGCCCGCTCGAATCGGGCCCGTAATGATAGGTTCCGAGGGGCCCGAAGAGCCCCTCGGAACCAAAGGGATGGAGGCCAAGTGCCCCCTGTGCCCCTGCCTGTGCTACTGTTGCAGACCATGCCGTTACGTTGTCTGTTGTTGCAGGTTTGGGAGTCGCACTGCGCGTGATCAAGGGCGCCACGGCCGTCCACAATCGAATGTTTGACGGGCTGATGCGCTGTAAGATGAGCTTCTTTGACGCTAACCCCGGCGGTCGCATCCTCAACCGGTTCTCGCGTGACTTGGATGAACGTAAGTGGGCACCGGCTCCGGCTACGGACGGGTGTTGCACGTGCAGCCGGGCCGGTGCAGGGACGAGCGGACGTCAGTACATTGTAGCACGCTGTGATCATCAATGATCTTCAGGTGCCAGGGTCATTCTCCAGTCCCAATAATCGTGTTTGACTGTGTCTCACACCTCTGGTATTCAAAATATGGTAATCAGGCGCGGGCTGTGTGAAAATCATGTCACGTTGCACGCTATGCGGCATACTTATGTCGTTTTCTTGCAGTGGATAACAATATTCCAACTTTATTCGAGCTTCTGCTGGAAGGAGGATCCCTGGTCTTGTCACTGTTTCTGATCCCCACTGCCTCCTTCCCGGAATACATACTGCTGGTCATCATAGTGCTTGGTAAGCCTAGGACAAGCTATCGCCACAAGATTCCATCACCGTTGCATATAACTTCAAATCGCATGCAGCGCACTCGATGCTACATAGCCTCAGCTGCTGCGCGGATCGCAAAACCACAATGACAACACAGCGTACTCTAACTGCTTGTGAGAATTACAGAGCCCTGCCTTTTCAAGTGGTGTAATCGCCCAGGCTGATGCATATGTGATCGTCCGTTTCTTGGTGTGGCCTGCCTGCATACCATGTCCCCGTAGGAGAACCGCGATATCATTCCCTTAACTTATTATTGTATATGATAATTATGATAATTGTAATTATATAATAGCACTATATATACTATAATGACATGATTAATAAAATAATAATAAAATAATTATGATTATATAATTAATTATGCTACTTATATATCATGATTATGTGTAGCTGCGCGCGCACGCACTTCCTTTGCTGTAGATTTGAGGGGCCGCTTCCGCAGTATGTGCTCAGGTGCTCAGGAATCTCGTCAGTGTGACTGACTGCGACTACGGGATAATATGCATGGCATTACCACTCGCTGCAGCCTACGCCAGTCGAACCCGTCCGTGCGATGTGCTGCTGGCGATCGGGCTGCTGACGGCGCCGCCCCTGCCGCTGCGTGTGCTGCTGGTGATCGGACTGTTGACGCCGCCGTCCCTGCCGCCTCAGCGTGCTGCTGGTGATGGGGCTGTCGACGGCGCCGCCCCTGCCGCCTCACCGTGCTGCTAGTGATGGGGCTGTTGACGGCGCCGACCCTGCCGCTGCGGTGTGCTGCTAGTGATGGGGCTGTCGACGGCGCCGCCTTTGCCGCAGCGTGCTAATGGCGAACGGGCTGTTGACGGCCCCGCCCATGCCGCTGCGGTGCGCTACTGGTGATCGGGCTTTTGACGGCGCCGCCCCTGCCGCGTCAGCGTGCTGCTGGTGATGGGGCTATTGACGGCGCCGCCCCTGCCGTCGCGGTGTGCTGCTGGTTATCGGGCTGTTGACAGCGCGCGCCCCTGTCGTCTCACCGCGCTGCTAGTGATGGAGCTGTTGACGGCGCCGCCCCTGCTGCTGCGGTGTGCTGCTAGTGATGGGGCTGTTGACGGCGCCGCCCCTGCCGCTGCGGTGTGCTGCTGGTGATCGGGCTGTTGACGGCGCCGCCCCTGCCGCTGCGGTGTGCTGCTGGTGATGGGGCTGTTGACGGCAGCGCCCCTGCCGCCGCGGCGTGCTGCTGTTTAGCGCGCTGCTGACCGCGCCGCCCCGGCCACCGCAGCGCTGTACTGCTTCCTGTGTCGCGGCCTAAACTCTGCCATACGCGTGACCAAGGACATGGAGAACCTGATGCGCTCGCCGGTGGTGCATCACATCGCGTCGACATTGGCTGGCCTGCCTGTCATCCGCGCGTTCGGTCGCGAGGAGGTTTTCACCCAGAGGTGCGTCAGGCGCTCCTTGGGCCATGTCCGGAGTCGGGGCACATGACGGAGGGAGCTGTGTAACATGCTGTGGTCCTGAAGCACGGGCACGGGCTCGGGGATGGGCATGGGGATGGGGATTGGGACGGGGATGAGGATGGGGATTGGGATGGGGATGGGACGGGGAGGAGCAGGGACTCCCGTCAGATGCCCGTACCGCAGTTTCTGTGACTCTCAATCCTAGTATGATGGAGATTTTTTGTGTAGTCTACCTGATCCCGGTTACAAAACAAGAGCTCGTACCCACCATCAGTCGCAACAGATGCACGTTGCACGCGGATGTATTAAAGCCATGCCATAGAACATGGGTTTCTACTACGATGCGTGAAAATGTGATAGTGAAATAGGTCCGTAGCTCGCGTCGTATCGCACGTCTCGTTTGGTATAAGCGAAATGTTATGCTGCTGATGGTGTTTAGTTATTTCTTCTGGTCTGGTTCTTGTGAAGTGAAATGCGCATTTAATGGCATCTAAGCTTCTGCAGCAAGCTTGTGGAGTGGAAGGAGACGTGGTTCCTTCGGCGCCTTATGACAGGCGGGCCCAATTTCAGCGTCGTCTTCACTGTATGCAATTTATGACGCTGTGCGTGCCGCATGATGTATTACAGAACTTGGCAATCGGGACGACTAGGGCTCGAACCAGGGCAGGGCGAACCAGGACACTTTTCATTTATTTGTTTTGGCCCATTAAACAAATTAGGATCGTGCCCTTGCATTCTGCATTGATGCAGTTTGTCTGACACCTGTCAAATTTTGCCTGGCATAGTTTGCCCTGATACGATGGCTAACCACGTATTTGTTTACGTCCTAGCCCACTCACGCAGGCCTGTGCTAAGCATATGCGCTGGGCGAGTGTAGAAGCATATGCCAATGCATGATATGTATGTGGTATCATATGCCAGCGATAACAGATAGCCTGCCAGGCATTCCGGTTTCAATCATGCATGACCAGCTTGAAGAGCCGTTGCTGCCCGACTGGCTAGTGTCATATGCTGTGGATGAGATGACAACAGCCACATTTGACCGGGACAAGTGACGGAAATTAAACGAGGAATGATGATCAGTCCCACGATAGCTACGTCATGACGTACGCCGCGTCCGGTGGCCCGTGACTTCCGACCGCACGTGACCGACCCTGTCGACGCCGTGACCGCCAGGTTTGAGGAGCTGTTGGACAGACATACCTCGTTCAACATGCAGTTCCGCCTGTCGTCGTTGTGGTTTTGCCTGCGGCTGGAAGAGCTCGGCACGGTCATGATCACGGCCGTGGCGCTGTTCGTTGTGTTCGCGCGGGACGCTTCGCCCGCCATGGTCGGCCTCTGCCTCTCAGCCGTCTTCAGCTCCGTCGCCTTCATCTCCGCCTGGATCCGCATGACGGCCGAGCTGAGGTGGGTTTCCAGGCAAGCTGAGGTAGGTGTCCGGGGGAGCTGAGGTGGGTGTCCGGGCAACCGGAGGTGGGCATCCGAGTGAGCTGAGGTGGGTGTCCGGGGGGGGGGGGGGGGGGGCTGAAATGGGTGTACGGGCAACCTGAGGTGTGTCCGGGCCAGCTGAGGTGGGTGTCCGGGCAAGCTGAGGTGGGTGTCCGGGCAAGCTGAGGTGGGTGTCCGGGCAAGGTGAGGTGGGTGTCCGGGCAAGCTGAGGTGGGTGTCCGGGTGAGCTGAGGTGGGTGTCCGGGCAAGCTGAAGTGGGTGTCCGGGTATGCTGAGGTGGGTGTCCGGGCAAGCTGAGGTGGGCGTCCGGGTGAGCTGAGGTGGGTGTCCGGGCAAGCTGAGGTGTGTGTCCGGGCACGCGGAGGTGAGCTGGGATGGATGTCCGGGCATGCGGTCGACGCCCGGCCGCGGTGAGCTGCATGGTGTGAGAAATCGTCTGGCCGTATGGCTTGTTCGACTTTTTCTACTTGACAGTGGATGATGACTCGTTTTTCCATGTTTACCGGCTGTAACCTTCTTCCCCGCCATAATCTAGTCTGTTTCTCCCCTCATCTCGTTGGCTCCCTGCGGGAGTGCAGCGTGGGCTAAACTGTCCAGCAGAGCATCGATGTGATCTCTGATCGCCGTAGATGTGATCGCAGATCGGTTCTATGCAACCACCAACCGCTGCTGATGTGGCATGATCGCTGTACTAAGTTATGTGATGGCTGATTGGTGTTGATGTGATATCATCGCCGTGCTGAGCTGTGATGGCTGATCACTGTTGATATGACATGACCACTGTGCAGAACTATATGATGGCTGATCGCTGTTGATGTGGCATGATCGCTGACCTGAGTTATGTGATGGCTGATCACTGTTGATGTGACACGATCACTGTGCTGAGCTATGTAATGGCTGATCGCTATTGATGTGGCATGATCGCTATTGATGTGACATGATCGCTGTACTGAGTTATGTGGTGGCTGACCGCTGTTGATATGACCTGATCACTGTCCAAAATTATGTGATGGTTGATTGCTGTTGATGTGACATCATCACTGTGCTGAGTTGTGTGATGGCTGATCGCTATTGATGTGACATGATCACTGTACCGAGTTATGTGATGGCTCACCGCCGCTGATGTGACATGATTGCTATTGATGTGACATGGTTGCTGTACTGAGTTATGTGATGGCTGATCGCTGTTAATGTGACATGATCGCTGTACTGAGTTATGTGATAGCTGGTCGGTGTCGATGTGTCATGATCACTGTGCTGAGTTATGTGATGGCTGGTCGCTATTGATGTGGCATGATTGCTAATGATGTGACATGATTGCTGTACAGAGTTATGTGATGGCTGATCGTTGTTGATGTGACATGATCGCTACGTTGAGTTCTGATGGCGGATCACTGTTGATGTGACATGATCGCCGTGCTGAGTTATGTGGGGGCGGATCGCTGTTGATGTGACATGATCGCCATGCTGAGTTATGTGATGGCTGATCGCTGCTGATGTGACATGATCGCTGTGCTAAGTTATATGATCGCTGTCCGCCGCTGATGTGACATGGCCGCTGTGCTGAGTTACGTGGTGGCTGATCGCTGTTGATGTGACGTGATCGCTGTGCTGAGTTACGTGATAGCTGACCGCTGCCTATGTGATGTGGTCGTCGCGCTACTGACTGCTTGTTCTTTGCTATCGACGTTCATGCCGGCTCTCCGCTCGTTGCAGCGCCCGCCTCACGTCCGTGGAGCGCTGCGACGAGTACATCCGCAGCCTGGACTACGAGGCGCCGCTGCACGTGCCGGAACACGCGCCGCCGGCCTCCTGGCCGCAGCGTGGCGGCGTGGAGCTGCGGGGCGTGTGCCTCCGCTACCGGCCTGAGCTGCCCAGAGTGCTGCACGACATTAGTCTGCAAGTGCTGCCCGGCGAGAAGGTCGGCGTTGTTGGGCGCACGGGCGCAGGTGCGACACGAGGCGAGGCGGGCTCGGGCCAGAGCGTGTGGCGTGTTGGTGCGCGTGCGCAGCCCTGGGACGGTCTTTCTTGGATTTGGCAGTATCCTTAGATCCGTGCTGTTATGTAGGACGTCAACCATGTGATGTACATGAGCCCGTGATAAGTATTTTCGTAGCCGACGCTGGCAACGTTAACGCCAGATGGAACGTGCTATAAGGAGAGGTTCCATGTTTCAACAGAGGCTTGTGGAGTGTGATGCAGATATTTTTGGAGTTATCTGGGAACGGTTGAATCGGAAAACGGAAAGAATCACTGATTGAAGGCATACAAGCCAAAGTATAGTTCACATTAGCCCTGTGATCGTTCATGGCATGCAGGGAGAGTCGTCGCGCTCCACTATTGGCGGAGAGTTTGTGTGCCGTCTGTGAGCGTCGTCTTCTGCTGACACAGGTAAGTCGACCCTCATCTCGGCGCTGCTGCGAATGGTGGAGGTGGAGACGGGCACCATCCTCATCGACGGCCTCGACATCCGGCCGATGGGGCTGCATGACCTAAGGTCACGTATCGACGTCATCCCGCAGGACCCGGTGCTCTTCTCTGGCACCATCAGGTACTGGCCTGGCCAGAAGCAGCAGCTGCTGCCGAGCTGTGCGCGAAGCTACGCTTGTGCTTCCCCCTGGACACGTGGCCGACGTAGATCTATCACGCGGTGGAATAATTTCATCGCATTGTGCACATACTCAACGGTGGAGATCTGGGAAACGTTGGTAGGCAAAGCCTTCGAAACGGACATCTTTCGACGCGAAAATGATAACGAAATGATCGCTGTTATTTAAGTTGGTATACGTGACGTCACACCTGCTAAACCGTGTCTTCCATCTGTGCTAGTGCCCGCTGAGATCCATCATCTGGGAATTGCCTTTGTATTGGTGCTAATAGCGTGCGGACATGGCTGAGACGTTTGTGTCATTCATTTGTGACCTGCTAGCTAGTTCACGAACACAGCTGCCTCACTTTGACCTCAGACACAACCTGGATCCGTTCGACGAGTACCCCGACGAAAAGCTGTGGGCTATACTAGAGAAGGCCAATCTGAAGAAGAAGGTGTCGCGGGCGGATCAGCAGCTCCAGATGAAGGTCACCTCGGCCGGTGACAACTTCAGGTACGGCAGGCTCCGTCTGCGCTCGCCTCGGTCAGGGACGGGTTGTGGCCCCACCACCGCGTCAAACAGTGACCTGCAGTAGCCTGGCATCAGTCCCAGCCAGGAACATTGCGTGACCTCGCGTTCGCCCCTGTCATGGACGGGTTCTGGCCGTCAGGACCGGAACTTCGCGCACCCCTCAGCAAGGCACGTGCCTTAGGCTGGAATTTGCCAACGAGGAAACGTGGCCTAGCCTCGCGCCCGTCTCTGCGAAGGACCTATGGTAGTCTGTCGCTGAAAGTGTCCCGTAGCGAAGCAGCGAGTCGTGAGTGATACCGCGGTGCGCCTCCTCAGTGTCGGCGAGAAGCAGCTGATCTGCTTGGCACGCGCGCTGCTGCGCCAGAACCGAATCCTGCTGCTGGACGAGGCCACAGCCTCGGTGGACGTGGAGACGGACCACCTAATCCAACGCACCATCCAGGACAACTTCAGCGCTTGCACCGTCATCACCATCGCCCACCGGCTTAACACCGTAGTCAGCTACGACCGGATCGTCGTCATGGACGCCGGCAAGGTGGGCTGCGTCCTGGCAGATGTTTGTCACAGTGTCGTTTCGTAGACACCCATGCTTCAAAATACTGAGTGTAAAATGTCAGGCCCTAAAGTTTCCAGCGGACACAAAGCAACAAGACGCAGGGTCTCGACCCTCATGCAGCTCCCGCTGGGCGCGTTTCATTGAAAAGGACTGGGTTCGTTCCACTGTGACGGAGTGGGTGAGGACCAGTGTGGCGGCCCCTGTGTGACTGATCTCGGCCTTGCCGGAAGGTCGTCGAGCTGGACACGCCGCTGGCGCTGATGGAGAACGAGAACTCGCTGTTCCGCCAGATGATGGGCCACGCCGGCTTCACCACCGTTGAACAGCTGCTCGAGCTGCAGACCAACAGACGGTAGACGACGATGACTCGTAGACTGCCAGCTCGGTTATTTTGGGGCCGTTACTCGAGTGATAATCCCGCTGACGGTGTAGTGTGTGTCTGCCAGCTCGGGCGCGTGCGGAGTAAAGCCGACTGGCTCGGCCTCACGAGAGCCCGGATCTGTTGTCTTCTCCAGTTAGTCGAGGCAGCTTGGAACATCACCTCCAGGTATATGCTATGCGCACGCATAAACATGCCGTCCGCACGCATCCAGTACATCATTGGTATCGCTACGACGATTACAGCGTGATGTGATGACCAAGATAAGCAAGATGACCAGGTTCTGTGACCGGTATCAATGTTGTGCCGATGGCTCTTGTTCCGTCAGAACTCCGCGCTCACAATGTAGAAATGTAGTCATACTATGTGCCTCGCAATCGTCCTGTCAAATATCAGTGCTTAATCAACTAACTACTTCTTAGAAATATATGATCATATCTGTTTAATTGGAATTGAATCGGCAGATAAAAACCAGCGTCCGACGATGTTCTGGTTGGCCGCCTGACCCGGAGATGGCGCGAGAGTAGGCAGTCCAAGCGGTGCCAGGGTCTCGTTCTTCATTAACAAAAGAAAAGCTCATTCGTAACATGGGATAAGAACATGCCCTGATTTACTGGCCTGTTGGGGATGTCACGTGGAAGGTCATTGGTGACTCTGCCAGTATGAGAAAAGTTGTAACTTATTACGCACGCATGCAGCTGGCTGTAACTGTAAAGCGGCGCATTTGGAGCGCACTTTCATCCCAATAGAGCAATAGCGGTCTCACTGCAAGACGAATGCGAGTAATTCCACAGCAGCACTGGCGTAGAAAATGGATTTGCATGCTGCAGACTTCAACTGTGGTCCATTGGCACGCGGTGTAGTCTCCTGGGTTACTCGTGAGGCTGAGTGGGGTTTGCTGCGGACGAGGGTGGATCTGAGCTGTCTGTAGCAGGCGGCAGAAAGCGACTCGCCACGCGCTCTCCATTCGTCGCTTGCTCGGTCTTGGCGTTGTACTGCACACGCATCGAACGCAACATGATCAGGCGTTCGCCGGGCTTCCTCAGGCTATTTCCGTTTAGACCTGGGCTTGTATCCTCTCGGACCGGACCTCGCCCGCTCTAACTTACAAACCCATCGTTTGGCCCAGAATCGTCGCAACGCCGTCCGTCTCACCGAGAAGAGCTGGGCCTGTCAGCTGTGAGCCGGCTTAGTACCGAGCTAGCGGGAGTCCGCCAGAACGTCCGCACAAACCCTAACGAGGGGTCCCTGTGCGGAGTGGGGCTTGTAAGCCGAAATCCCACACGAAGACCGCGGCATGGACAGGCTACTTATCGCATTCTTCAAGGGGCCTAACCCACTTAAAACCGAGAAAAGCGTAAGAACGACATTGTCTCTTCTCAGCCCCACAGCCCTCGATTGGTCGGCATCATTATTGGCCGAAAGGACTCTAATCCGCCTCCCTCCAGTGGAATCGGGTAGTTGACCTGCGCACCAGCTGGTGTATGCCTGGGCATACCTAGAAAGGCTGAGTTGTGCCCGAGTGTTCGTGTGAGAGGCAGGGAGTCCCACCGTTCTCTCTTCCGCAGGCTGGGGTGATTACGGTTATCGGCAGAACCGGTCACCGAACGGCTGTTGTCGTTTAAGCCGGCTTACGTGGCGCAACGGCGCCCGGGTTGGCCAGCGGCCGTGGCAGCGTGTCTTCCCGACTCTCAGGCACAACTCAATCCCGCCCCAAAAAGGAAAGGTCAATGCAGAGGAGGCGCGCGACATTACATCTCTAGAGTTAGCGCACGGGCTGCATCGGTCTTAAGCTGACAGATAAATCTACAGATTGGGGTGGGCTGCATAAGAATATGTTTCCCGAGAGCAGCGGGCCGGGACAACGTCGGCTTTTGTTGAGTATGATGATGAACACCTAAAACATTCCACTGAACGAATCGAGTGGGAAAATTCTGAGATGCCAGGAAATTTGTTTACTTTTGTCCCTGTATACTTTATTTTCCGACTTTTGTTGCAATGGATCGGAATGAACGAATTGATCGAATAAGGATGAAAACACCGTCTGTGCCAATCTACGATTTGTTAAAGATATGGCTTTGCGAGCAGATTGAACTTGGACTCGATGAACTGAAATGAAACAAATCCTAGAAGTTAAATTCATGAATGATTTAAGCTGCAGCTGCAAGCACCGTAGGTCTTAAATCAGGCACGACAGCCGTGGCTCCCGCACTGTTGCGCTGTTAGTTCCGGTCTGCCCGCCCAGAATTTGAGATGGTCCTACCCAGGCACGTCCCCTGTTCCTAAGACGTACAGTCCAGGAACTGGCAAAGAACACAGTTCACTAAACCGACCAAGGTAAGACCAAGACTGTGGAATAAGTGGCTAGCTTTATTCCTACATCCCATTTCTATTGAGATATGTTGGCATAGTTCAGAGATTCATGCCCAACGAAGGCTTGCATGAAAACAAAACATGTGAGAAGGCAATAAATTTGGCATAAAAACACGTAACAGCGAAGGCGTATCCGGTGTTATGGGCAGCCTTGCATCGCAACTGTGTAAAAGCATTAACGATTTCGTAGGCCGGAGAGGGTGAAGCTGACCTACGATGCGTCCTTACGAAAACATCCCGCAATGCGTATAAATTACTTGCAGTATACATCCCGGTACGCTTGCTGGAACTGGCAAGCACGTCTATGGGACGCGTGGTTCTGGTGCTTAGAAGGCAGATGTCGCCTTCCGTCCTACATCGTGCTACTATCAGTTGGCCGGGAGGCAAAGGCTCCGGTACATGTCTGCGCGTCTCGACGCGGACAGCATGTCGCCTTGCTCGTCCACGACCACGACCCGTTTGGTCTTATTTCTGCTTTCTCCGCCTCCGGCATTCTGTAGACATGGCATTATCCGGAATCGTGTTGTATATCTGTGCCGCATTTTTACTTTGTTTATGTTTAGTGCATTTGCCAGGATCATTATTCACAGAGATAAGACAGCTGTAATAGTCTTATTCCTCGGATAAAAAAGAACAGGAGAATGGAGATGTAGATGCGTTTATATTTCATTAGCATGCTTTTATTAAAACGAAGGGCGGAAGACTTCTGCCATTTGTTTCGATAAATGCATATTTACGTCCGGCGCATATTAACATATGCATTGAAATTATCAGTTTGTTCGGGGTTGTAATCGTTCTGTGCATATGGTCTGCATTTCATACACGGGCAGAATTGTTTTCCGGGAACGCGTTATTCTTGCCCCAGCCTGCTTAACTCATGTTGATGGTGAGTTTGAAATGTTGCGTGTTGATGACGTGTTCAATGTTTATCCGATTAAAGAGGGTTAAAAGCGTCAGTCATGCCAAGCAGACTTGTGCCTGATTCCCAAGATTTCTTCCCGGGAACCGGTTCCTGGTTCCCGTTTCCGGAACCAGGAAAAACCCAGGAACCAGTCTGGCAATAAGTCGAAAGATCCAACAAGAACCAGGATTCAGCTTGTCAACAAGTCGAAAGATCCAGCAAGAACCAGGATCCAGCTTGACAATAAGCCAAAAGATTCGATAGGAAGCGGGATCCAGCTTGACATGGGGATGAAAGATCAAGCAATAACCAGGATCCAGCCTGATACCAAGTTGAAAGAACCAGCAAGAACCAAGATCCAACTTGGATTGGACATAGGGACCCAGCAAGATCCTGCCTGGTGTTCTGCCAAGGGATCCAGCAAGAACCAAGACCCAGCCTGGAATATGCATAGTGATCCAGCAAGAACCAGGATTCAGCTCAGGCTTAAAATGGGGATTCAACTTCAGCAAGAACCAAGATCCATCCTAAAATTATGTTCAGGAACCAGCAAGAACAAGAATCTTACCAGTAGTTCTTCACAGCAGTTGCTGCACTCACTCCCCACTTTTTCAGGCCCAGCAAGATGTGCTGTTCTTAATGTAAATTAATAAAATTAAGTCTGGTCTTGTCTTGTCTTTTGTCTTGCCGCGATACTTGTCACGATACAGGTATGATGCAGACCTGCTCGATCTGCAACTGGGCTGTCAGCTGCCTAATGTTATCCTGAAAAGAAAGGCCCGCTCTTCCGCGCGTATAGCACAGAAATAATGAATACTACATATATATATATATATATATATATATATATATATATATATATATATATATATCAGCTTACATAAGAATAGCACAAAATCTTTACACAAAAACCATCCCACGTCACTCAAGGCTGCAGATTGGGATGCTAGTATCACATGTTTCGTTTACCTAAAACCCAAAGGGAATATGACGTCAGGGAACTAAGGCTGCTGTTGGTGAGGTTACTCCGCGTGAGAATGCGGAACAACGGTTCTATTCCGTTGACTTCTAATTGCTTTTACCAAAAAACACACCATCCAACGTGTAATAATCAGTTTAAATCATCCACAACAATATCAGACGCAAGCAAGGTTTGTATGTGTTGAAATGGGGCTTCAAATGGTAACAAACGCACTTTGGGCACATGATATGTCACAAGGCTTGAGACGCAGCTCAAAAGAGGGGAAGGAAAATTTCAGATGATTTTTTCCAAGAACATTATCGCATTTTGCATGGTTATTCTAGATATTCTATTCCAGATATTCTAGAATATTCAATTTAATTCTGTTCATTCTTCTAGACATTTTGAAGGTGGCTAGCAGATTGATAAATTCTGCAACCATATATACATGTATATATATATATATATATATATATATATATATATATATATATATATATATATACATATATATAACCATCTAGTAGGGGTATGGAACAAATACTGATCAGCTGATAAGAAGGCGTTTTTCCGAGGATAAAGCTAAGCTGGCGTGGTTATGGTCCATGGCAATGTGGAACGGCGACCCACTGCTAGTGTGAGATCGGTGCGAGGTGTGAGATCTGCGGTATGGGGGAGGTGAGATGAACTTGCGTCCGATTTTAACGGAATATATGCATTGTGTTAATGGGGTCAGGGTGTACTTTCCTACCTAACGTTAGAAAAAATCACTGTACACCATTCATCGTGTTTAAGGCAGGACATATCGTAAATAATCACAAAACAGGTAGATTCATGCTCTTACCTTCTAATTTTTATATAATTACGATGACGAGCTCCCGAGCGCCGCACACACACACACAGCGGCCGCGACACCGACGTCATTACTGCGCGCGGTCACAACATTACTGCGCATCAAGCAGCATCAAGAACTATAAAAATGTACGGGGCCAAGGTAAATATGTATACATATATATATATATATATATATATATATATATATATATATATATATATATATATATGTATATATATATATATATAACACCAGAAAACCATCCCAGTATCACAGGTTACCATCAAAGCTCAGCCATATTTTTTTTACACATCCCCAGCCCACCTGCAGACCAAAGGTAGTCCCACATTTATACTGCTTTATCATGCACATGATGAGTCTACATCTGCCTGAGCCTTGTGCTCAGGATTCTGGATAAGGTGTATTGTTGTTACAGAGTCGGGGCATGCTGTTTATTTTGACTGACCTGTGATGTACTGATATGCTTTTCTAGAGTAAAGTGGGTTGTGCAGGGTGATCTTTTTAGGCCAATTTTTCCAAGGTCTCAAGACTGTCAGAGTACTCCATATTCTGACCTGAGGAGTCCAGTGTTTATCCAGGACTAGGTTTATTACAAGTCGTAAGAATCATGGTTGGCAACAGCATCTTGCGGCGAACACGACCAGTTTCCTGCGCGGCGTTTTAAAGCGGCGTGTCATTCGATACAGGTGGGCTTGGTCGCTCGCTACGCGGAGATGTGTTGGGTTCAATGCGAAGCTGTGGGTGGCTGTGGGTTGTGTTCATGTCGTGAGAAGATGACGGGCTAGAAGAACGTTGCTAATCGTCAGCTTTTTAAGGTAATAGCGTTTAAAAGTATTGCCGGTCCATGAGGATTGTTCTTTGTGGATACCTGAGCTGTAGCTTCAGAGGTAAACGGAAGTCGTTGGAGCGACATATGTCAAGGATTCCTCCAGGGCTTCCTCCCACTGAGAGGAAAAGCAGCTTCGAGGTAAGAGGCCAAGTATCCCTGTTGTACGTCTCACGCACTGCCCGTTGCACCTCAGGCTTATCGCAGTGATCGCTGGACAGGCATGAAATAAAACGCTTTTGGTTATCATATTGCACACAAAACTAAGTGAAGGTGCTAGAGGTGCCCAGAAATGCTGTTCGCATCTATTGATACCAATATTGTCTGGGTTTTGCTCTAAATAAGCGGGATCATGTCAGGAAGCGCGAATTCTGCACCGGCGATGATTGCCAAGATAATGAAGGCTGCTGACGCTTTCAGCTATTTGTACGATGACGTCACGAAAACAAAAGTGATATTGTTTCAGGTTCTTTTAGAACCATGTTATCGGTAAAGGTGGGACCACAGGGATGCAGTTTTGCAAATGCGTAGAGGTGAAGGATAGAAGGCGAAGTGGGGGGGGGGGGGGGGGGGGCAGTAAGAAAAAAATGGCTGAGCCTGCTTCCGAGATGCACTAAAACGTTTTCACTCCAGATTTGGAGCTGGCAGCAGAGTTCCGGGGGTAGTTTAGGGTAGGGCTTCAAGGGTAGTCTTCTGGGGTAGTTTCTTAATATTGGTTTTTGGGGCTGAACTCCCAAGTTATGATAAATGAAAAATAATGGATGAAGGTTACGACCAAAAGCAGCTACACCCGTGGTTCGGAGGCGCAATCCCTCCCCCCCCCCTCCCCCTAATTGGAAAGGAATCTTTACGCCTTTATGCTGGTTATCTTGGGTTTTCCAATATTTCAAATATTTCTATTTATTTTTCTATTTCTATTTGTATTTCATCTTTCTATCCATCTATCTATTCATCTATGTATTTATTTATATCTGTATTTATCTATCTATCTATTTTGTATTTATGTTTCTATATTACGTTATCTAATATTTATGTCAGGTTAGTTCAGTGTTTGATCAGGCCAGTAAATGAAACTTTAGTGCAAATGACCCCCGAAACGAAAACGTTTGATGGTTATGCCGCATTGCATTTAATTTCTCTTTGTTTTTTGTGGTTTATTGCCGATAGATATTTTGTAGCGGTTTCTAAAAGATGTGATTCCAGGTGACAATTCAGACGGTTCTAAATTTTGTCAGTGACAGAAGAGGCACTTTCTCAGCCCCGGTTGAGACCATTTCGAGGCCGCGGCCAAGTACGTAGCGCGCTCAGTACGTGCCTTTGGTTCGTGAGCTCCGGGCCATTGGGCCGGTAAGCCGCGGACTGGGACCGGTTTGGGGCATCCGTGTATACCATTGTGAAATAAACGCCCCGCGGCCCTTTCACTGGTGAGAATATCAGGGATGCTTCGAAGACTAAAGAATAGTATGCCTGCACAGACTGAGAGAAGCCCGTCAACGGACGGAAAAATCGCTACAAAGACATCCTGCCTTAAGAGAACCTGGGGCACATACCGACGTGACACCAGCAGCATGTCTTGACATAGTTTAGGGACATAACTTGGCAGCGTGCTGTCGGACTTACTGCGTTGTGGAATTGATGTGCTGTCACGTACACAGTTGATGTGGAAGATGTGTGGCAACCACCCGTTTGTAAGGACACGTCTTTGAAATGGTGGCGGTTGCCACGGTCGACAGCCATTGTCTCACCAATGCTGCCTGGCGGTGTTTGTCAGACGTTGACGGTGGGTGCCGTGCTCGACAGTCGATGTCCCGCGAGTGCTGCCTGGCGGTGTGTTTGTCAGCAGCTGTTGATGCCCATTCTATTCGTGATCCTAACGCTAAGCGCTCGGCCGAGGCGGATTCGACCCATGAACATTGCTGTTCTGAGCGCCTTCACAGCTACGCACGTTGGGGCTCATCTGGCCAACTGGAAGAGAGAACAGTGAGACTCTCTGTCTCTCACACGGACACCCGGGCTTCCAGCTTTTCTGGGTATGCCCAGGCATACACCAACTGGTGCGCAGGTCAATTACCCGGTTCCATTGGAGGGAGGGGGATTGGAGTCCTTTCGACTAATGGTAGTAACGACCAATCGAGGGCTGTGGGACTGAGAAGAGGCAGTGACGTATATACGCTATTCACGGTTTTTAGTGAGAATTTGGGAGTTCGGCCCCTTGAAGAGGGCAATAAGTAGCCTGGGCATGCTGCGGTCTTCGTATGGGATTTCGGCTTGCAAGCCCTACTCCGCACAGGCACCCCTCGTCGGAGTTTGTGCGGACGCTCTGGCGGACTCCCGCTGGCTCGGTACTAAGCCGGCTCACAGCTGACGGGCCCAGCTCTTTTCGGTGAGATGGACGGCGTTACGATTCTGGGCGAAGCGATGGGTTTGCAAGTTAGGGTGCACGGGGTCCGGTCCGAGAGGAAATAAGCCCGGGTGTAAACGGAAGCAGCCTGAGGAGAGCCCAGCGAATCATGTTGGGTTCGATGCGTGTGAGGTACAACGCCAAGACCGAGCAAGCGACGAATGAAGAACGCGTAGCGAGTCGCTCTCTGCCGCCTGCCACAGACAGCTGAGATCCGCTCTCATCCGCAGCAAACCCCGCTCGGCCCCGCGAGTAACCGAGGACACTACACCACGTACCAGTGGACCACAGCCGTAGGTCTGCAGCATGCGAACCCATTTTTGGCGCAAGTGCCCCTGCGGAATTACTCGCATTTGTTTTGTAGCGAGACCGTTGTTGCGCTATTGGGATGAAAGTGCGCTCCAAATGCGCCGCTTTAAGTTACAGTCAGCTGCATGCGTGCGTAATAATTTACAACTTTTGTCATACTGGCAGAGTCACCAATGACCTTCCACATGACATCCCCAACAGGCCAGTAGATCAGGGCATGTTCTTATCCCATGTTACGAATGAGCTTTCCTTTTGTTAATGAAGAACGAGACCCTGACACCGCTTGGACTGCCTACTCTCACGCCATCTCCGGGTCAGGCGACCAACCAGAACATCGTCGGACGCTGGTTTTTATCTGCCGATTTAATTCCAATTCAACGGACACGATCATATATTTCTAAGAAATAGTTAGTCGATTAAGCACTGATAGTTGACAGGACCGTTGCGAGGCACATATTATGACTATATTTCTACACGGTGAACACGGAGTTCTGACGGAACAAGAGCCGTCGGCACAACATTGATACCGGTCACTGATCCCGGTTATCTTGTTTATCTTGGTCATCACATTACGCCGTAATCATCGTAGCGATACCAGTGACGTACTGGGTGCGCGCGAACGGCATGTTTATGCGTGCACACAGCATATACCTGGAGCTGAGCTTCCAAGCTGCCTCGACTAACTGGAGGAGAGAACAGATTCGGGCTCTCGTGAGGCCGAGCCAGTCGGCTTCACTCTGCACGCGCCCGAACTGGTACACACACACTACACCGCCAGCGGGATTATCACTCGAGTAACGTCCCATTACAGCACCGTGGACGATTTCCACACGAATTCTCAACAAGAGGCGTGCATCTCATTGAGTAACAGTGTAGCGGACGGCCTTCCCTGACAACGAAAGAACAGAGCTGGCAGTCTACAAGTCAGCGTCGTCTACCGTCTCTTGTTCTGCAGCTCAAGCAGCTGTTCGACGGTGGTGAAGCCGGCGTGGCCCATCATCTGGCGGAACAGCGAGCTCTCGTTCTCCATCAGCGCCAGCGGCGTGTCCAGCTCGACCACCTGCCGGCAAGGCCGAGGTCAGTCACACAGGGGCCGCCACCCTGGTCCGCGCCCACTCCGTCACAGTGGAACACATCCAGTCCGTCACAATCGAACGCGCCCAGCAAAAGCCGCATGAGGGTCGAGACCTTGCGTCCTGTTGCTTTGTGTCCGCTGGAAACTTTAGGGCCTGACATTTTACACTCAGTATTTTGAAGCATGGGCGTCTACGAAACGACACTCTGTGACAAACGTCTGCCAGGACGCAGCCCACCTTGCCGGCGTCCATGACGACGATCCGGTCGTAGCCGACTACAGTGTTAAGCCGGTGGGCGATGGTGATGACGGTGCAGGCACTGAAGTTGTCCTGGATGGTGCGCTGGATTAGGTGGTCCGTCTCCACGTCCACCGACGCCGTGGCCTCGTCCAGCAGCAAGATTCGGTTCTGGCGCAGCAGCGCGCGCGCCAAGCAGATCAGCTGCTTCTCGCCGACACTGAGGAAGCGCACCGCGGCATCACGCACGATTCGTGCTTCGCTACGGGACACTTTCAGCGGCAGACTACCACACGTCCCTCACAGAGGCGGGCGCGAGGCTAGGCCACGTTTCCACATAGGCAAATCCCTTGCTGAGAGGTGCGCGAAACTCCGGTCCTGACGGCCACAACCCGCCCCTGACAGGGGCGAACGCGAGGTCACGTCATATCCCTGACTGAGACTGATGCTAGGTTACTGCAGGTCACTGGCTGGCGCGGTGGTGGGGCCACAACCCGTCCCTGATCCAGACGAGCGCAGACGGAGCCTGCCGTACCTGAAGTTATCACCGACTGAAGTGACCTTCATCTGAAGCTGCTGATCCGCCCGCGACACCTTCTTCTTCAGGTTGGCCTTCTCTAGTATAGTCCATAGCTTTTCGTCGGGGTATTCGTCGAACGGATCCAGGTTGTGTCTGAGGTCAAAGTGAGGCAGCCGTGGTCATTACCTAACTAGCAGGTCACAAATGAATGACACAAACGTCTCAGCCATGCCAGCAGGCTAATAAAACCAACATAAAATTACTGGCCAGATAATGGGCCTCAGCGGGCACTAGCGCAGATGGAGGACACGGTTTAGCAGCTTTCACATCACTCATACCAACTTTGATAAAATTGGTCATTTCGTCATCATTTTTTCGTCGAAATGTGTCCGTCTCGAAGGCTCTGCCGTACCAACTTTTCAGTATTCCGCACCGTTGGGTATTAATTTAACTCAGGCTAGTGTGCAAAATGCGATGAAATGATTCCACCACGTGAGAGATCTACGTTGGCCACGTTTCCAGGAAGTAGCACATGCGTAGCTTCGCGCACGACTAGGCAGCAGCTGCTGCTTCTGGCCAGGCCGGTACCTGATGGTACCAGAGAAGAGCACCGGGTCCTGCGGGATGACGTCGATACGTGACCTCAGGTCATGCAGCCCCATCGGCCGGATGTCGAGGCCGTCGATCAGAATGGTGCCCGTCTCCACCTCCACCATACGCAGCAGCGTGGAGATGAGGGTCGACTTGCCTGTGTCAGCAGAAGGCGTCGCTTACATACGGCACACAAACTCACCGCTACTGATGCAGCAAGACGACTCTCCCTGCACATCAACGATCACAGCGCTTATGTGAGCAACGCCTGGGCTTGTATGCCCTCAATCAGTGCAGACTGTTCCCATATAGCTGCAGGAAATGCACGCTCCACAGGCCTCTGTTGAAACATGGAGTCTGTCGATATCGCACATCCCTTCTGGCGTTGACCTCGCCAGCTGCTGCTCCGGAAATATCCATCCCGGCTTCATGCACAGCGCATGGAGGACTTCCTACATAACGGCACGGATCTAACGATATTGCTGAGTTCAAGAAAGACCTTCCCAGGGCTGCGCACGCCCACCAACGTGCCACACGCTTTGGCCCGAGCCCGCCTCGCCGCGTGTCGCACCTGCGCCCGTGCGTCCGACAACGCCGACCTTCTCGCCGGGCTGCACTTGCAGACTTATGTCGTGCAGCACTCTGGGCAGCTCAGGCCGGTAGCGGAGGCACACGCCCCGCAGCTCCACGCCGCCGCGCTGCGGCCAGGACGCCGGCGGCGCGCGTTCCGGAACGTGCAGCGGCGCCTCGTAGTCCAGGCTGCGGATGTACTCGTCGCAGCGCTCCACGGACGTGAGGCGGGCGCTACGACCAGCGTGAATGTCGATAGCAAGAAACAGTCAACAGCGTGACGATCACATCACATCGGCAGCGGTCAGCCATCATACAACACAGCACGGCGATCATGTCACATCAACAGCGGTAGGCGGTCACATAAAACCGATCTGCGATGACATCAGCGGTGATCAAAGATCACATGGGTGTTCTGCTGGACACTTTAGCCCACGCCGCACTACCAATGAGAACCGACGAGACTTGAGAGATTTAACAGACTATAGACTATGGGGAGGTAGAAATATATCTGACAAACATGAAAAACAAGGGCTACCATTCACTGTCAGCTAGAAAAAAGTCGCACAAGCAAGACAGTCAGATGATCACTCAGGCAACTCACCACGGTGTCGGACTGCGCGCCCGCACACCCGCCTTAGCTTGCCCGGATATCCACCTCAGCCCGGTGTCGACTGCATACTCGGACACTTACCTCAGCTTGCCCGGACAGCCACCTCAGCTTGCCCGGGCGCCCACCTCAGTTTGCTTGGACACCCACCTCAGCTTGCTCGGACACCCACTTCAGCTCGGTGTCGACTGCACGCCCGGACACCCGCCTCAGCTTGTCCAGACACCCACCTCAGCTCACCCGGACACCCACCTCAGCTCGGCCGTCATGCGGATCCAGAAGGAGACGAAGGTGACGGAGCCGTAGACGACCGAGAGGCAGAGGCCGACCATGGCGGGCGAGGCGTCGCGCGCGAACACAACGAACAGCGCCACGGCCGTGATCATGACGGTGCCGAGCTCGTCCAGCCGCAGACAGAACCACACAGACGACAGGCGGAACTGAAGATTGGATGAGGTGTGTCGATCCAACAGCTCCTCAAACCTGGCGGTCAAGGCGTCGGCGGGGTCCGTCATGTGCGGTCAGAGGTCACGGACCACCTGACAGGGCGTAGGACACGACGTGGACATCGTGGGACCAATCATTACCCGTATAATTTCCGTCACATGTCCTGGCCAAATGTAGCTGATGTCATGTCATGCAAGGCACATGACACTCACCCGACGAACAACAATGGCTCTTCAAGCTGATGATGCGTGATTGAAACCAGAATGGCTGGCAGGCTGGCTATGCCGTCACACTCAACCAATGCAGATGCTTAGCACAGGTCTGCCTGTGTGGTCTAGGGCGCAAACAAATACAGTCGTTGTGTATCAGGGCGTATCAATCAGCCGCGCACTGTGCACTGTATTCTCGAACGAGCTGAGCCTACATGGACTGTCTCCCGACGGCACGCAAGTCATTGCTAATGACAAACAGGCGACAAGACTCCTGCCACTAATTACACCGCACAGGCTCTCCGACGCACGCATGGGCTGTGCAGTTCGAGCGGTATGACGCTGAACACGGCAAGTACGCAGGTACAGGTAGTGGTGATCCCTGCTATGTCGAGAGGTTTCAACCTGAAACAATTTACTCCTTTGAAGCGGGCACTGCTGACGCCGGAATGGTACGCAAAATAGGTGTAATCGTGGATAGCGATCATCATTCAAAACCGCAAGTGAAATATATCCATGCAGGATGTAGGGGCACGATCCTCATTTGTTTAATGGGCGAAAACGCATGACATATTGAAAAGCATCCTAGCTCAAGTTCGAGCCGTCGTCGCCCTATCTGGCAAGTTCTGTATTTGGTCATACGGCACAAGCAAGCGTCTCACAATTGCACAACGTGAAGAACACGCTAACATTTGGTACGCCAGTCATTAGCCGCCGATGAAGCCACGTATCTTTTAGCAACTCCATAATCTTGGTGCAAAAGCCTAAATGCCACCGAATGCGTATTTCCACTTCACAACCAGGAGTGAAAAAGCTTCTCATTTACCGGATATGATCGTTGATAAAACCCGGCACTTCTGCGAACTAAGCTGTGATAAAATTGCGAAAACGCAAACAAATCTCAACAGACCAGACCATATTACGACAGATTATCCCAGCTCGACAAAACCCGAAGCTTAGTATTGGTCTGTACTCGCCAACGCTTGCAGCGTGCGCATGTGTAGAGCACATGTCGAAACGTTGACGTTTCGATGCATGAGCGGTTGAGCCATAAGATGCTGCCAAACATAGCAACTTTAATCAGGATGGCCTTTGCAAGTGACAGAAACATACTACAAACCATACCATATCAGTGCTGACGTCACAGATCAATAACACAGTGCCTTTCCAAGTCCCTCACATCAGTGCTTTTCACAATTTTTTCAGCCAAGATTCACTTCACATACTTAACAGTATAAAATACTAAATAACTAGGGTTATAATGTACCATGTAACATAATATATCATACACTATAATATATAATATATTATAACTGGGTCAGCGTATTAGTCGTAAGAATCGTGGCTGACCGCAGCATATTTCGACGAACGCGATCAGTTTGCAACGTCACCTTTTAAAGTGTCGTACTCTTTGAGTCAGATCCAGGCGCTAGAACAGAGACAGATGGGCGCGGTTGCTCGCCGCGCGGTGCTGCGTTGGGTTTAGCGCAAGGCTTTGGGCTGCTGTACGTTGTGCTCTCGCCTTGAGGAGCAGACTGACAGAAGAACGTAGCTAATCGTCAGTTTTTTTAAGGAAGTGGCGTTAAAAAGCCTTGCCGATCTAGGAGAACTGCTGTTTGTGGATGCCTCAGCGGTAGCTTCAGATGTAAACGGAGGTATCTGCATCGACACAGGTCAAGGATTCATCCAGTGTCTCCTGCCGCTGAGAGGAGCAGCGTCTTTGAGGTAAGAGGCTGAGCGTTGCTGGTGTAGGTCTCTGACATGCCCGTCGCACCTTAGGCTTAGTGCCCTGATCGGTGCACAGGCGAGATTCAATACCTTTAGTGGTCACCATATATAAAACTAAGTGAAGGTGCTGGAGGTGTTCACAAATGTCGTTTGCATCTGTTGATTCCAATATTGCATGATTTTTGCTCTGAATAATTGGGATCATGTTACGAATGCGAGTTCTACACCGGCAACGATTATGCGCAGGTAGCGAAGGTCACCCATGCTTCAAGTTGATTGTACGGTGACGTCACAAAACCAAAAGTGATATTGTTCCAGGTACTTGAACCACGTTATCGTTAAATGTGGGGCTACAGGGATGCAGTTTTGTAAAATACGTGAGAGTGAGGGAGAAAACGGGGGGGGGGGGTGTAGGAAGAAAAAATGGCTGAGCCAGCCTCCGAAATGCGCTTAGAACAGATTTCTTCCTAGATTTTACTCGCTTCTTGTCACAGTTGGCAGCCGGGGTATGTTTTCTCAGAAATAGTTTAGGGTCTGAACCCTACAAATTACGGCAAATGAAAAATAATGCATAAAGGTGATAACTAAAATTAGAAAACTGCGTCCTTGGTTAGGAGGCACAATTTCGCCCCCCCCCCCCCGACCCCCCAAACTGAATAGGGAACTTCCCGTTTTTAGGCTGCTTACGTTAAGCATGCTTTTATCTGATAATTCTGTTATCTAGTCACAACCATCACTCGATGTTTAATGGCCAGCAAATGACACTTGAGTGTAAATAAACTTCCTAAACGAACATGTTTGACGGTTTTGCCGCATTGCATTTACTTTGTATGTGTTCTTGTGGTTTATCGCATTTAGAGATACATTGTAAAGGTTTCTGAAAGACTTGGCTCCAAGTGACAATTTAGATGGTTCCAAATTTCGTCGGTGACAGAAAATGCCCTTTTTACCACTGTCCACAACACTCACACCAGGAGAGATAGCTAAACACCATAAGAGCAAAACATAACACCTACAACCTACCGAACGAAAGCAGTCACCCGACACGAGCTACCACGAATGTGAAAGAAGGCAGGTCGCTGTGGTCTATGACGCGGTTATGTGCAGGAATACGCCCCGCTAGCAATCCGCCAAGACGTGCGCATGTTCACATCACACCTTAAGCACCGTCTTCTGCGCGGGCAGCATGACTTCCCAGTAATGACGCTTCCTGTTTTGTTTTCGTGTAGCATGTCGCTTGTTTGGACCTTACTTCACTACATTACTTCATTTTCACGCATTGCAGTGGAAACCCATGTTATGTCTATTGTTTTTTTAATACATACGCATGCATATATGTGTGGAAACTGATGGAATGCTCCTGTTTTACAACCGGTGTCAGGTAGACCACGCAAACCAAAATCCATCTCATCTTAGCACAAGTCGCAAAAACTGCGATAAACACGTTTGCCAGGGGTCCATACCCCCGTCCCCATCCCTGTCCTCATCCCTCGTACCCGTACTCGTACCCGTGCCCGTGCCCGTGCCCGTGCCCGTGCCCGTGCCCGTGTCCGTGCCCGTGCCCGTGTCCGTACCCGTACCCATGCCCGTGCCCGTGCCCGTGCCCGTGCCCGTGCCCGTGCCCGTGCCCGTGCCCGTGCCCGTGCCCGTGTCCGTGTCCGTGCCGCGCCCGTGCCCGTGCCCGTGTTCGTCCCCAAGGGCCACAGTATGTTTCGCTGTTCCCTCCGCCATGTGCTTGACTCCGGTCAGTCTGTGACGACCTCTGAGCAGGCGCAGAGAGCGGCCGGCCGGCGGCAGACTCACCTCTGGGTGAACACCTCCTCGCGGCCGAAGGTGCGGATGACAGGCAGGCCAGCCACCGTCGACGTGATGTGATGCACCACCGGCGAGCGCATCAAGTTCTCCACGTGCTTGGTCTCGCGGATGCCGGAGATCAGGCCGCGACCCAAGAAGAAGTACAGTGCTGCGGCAGGGGGAGGGGGAGCGGCACGGTCAGCAGCGCGCTCACCAGCAGCACGCCGCGGCAGCCGGGACGGCGCAATCATCAGCGCGCTCACCAGCGGCACGCCGCGCGGCCGGGCTCGGCTGGCGGCGACCACAGGCAGTGGCGGCACCATGTGCATGGATCCTAGTGGCGCGATTACAGCCATTTGAAAGGGCGGGGCTCAGTAATGCTCACAAGCATTTGGAGTACGCTGTGTTGTTATTGGGATTTACGATAAACGCGGCAGCTGAGGCTATATGACGTTGAATGCGCTGCATGCGATTTAAAGCCATATGCAACGGTGACGGAATCCTGTGGCGATGGCTTGTCCTAGGCTTACCCAGCACTACGATGACCAGCACTATGTATTCCGGGAAGGAGGCAGTGGGGATCAGAAACTGCGACAAGATCATGGCTCCTCCTTGCAGCAGAAACTCAAACAGCATCGGAATCTTGTTGTCCACTGGAAGAAAAACAGATTAAAGGGAATGCTTCCCATTTGAAGAAATCAGATTTGAGGTGTGAGATACAATGAAACAAGCTCATAATCATTGGCATGCTTTTTAAGTGCAAAAGACTGCTCTAGACAGCACAAGTCTCTATTTAGTAAAAACGCTCCCCAATACGTCATGGTTTGATTACGTCATCGTACCTCGCACAACATGGATTAATAATCAACTGACAGGCATTGTATCTGGAAATCGCGCTCACGAACGCTAGGTATGAAAGTTTCGACAATCATATTGCTCGGCCTCGATTGCCACATAGTTTATGGAATGGCAGGATTTGAATGGCGTTATTATGACATCATGAATGCTACTTCAACTTCGAAATACCCTCCCCGATATACCTTCCCCAATTTCGCGGACGTATAGTTCAGAAACTACATGGGCTTATGCCTTAACAAGGGTAGGATTGTGAACAACACCGAAAGGTCTTAAAGATGCCTATTCCGTTCATAACCCCATATAAATGTGGAACACTCCCTTTAAGTATACCTCAGTAATAGCACACGATCTCCTCACAGCCCGCGCCTTTTTACCACATTCTAATACCATAGGTGTGAGACACATTCAAACCCAATTATTGGGACTGGAGAATGCCCCGGGCACCTGAAGATCATTGATGACCCCAACGTGCTACAGTGTACTGACGCCCGCTCGTCCCTGCACCGGCCCGGCTGCACGTGCAACATCCGTCCGTAGCCGGAGCCGGTGCCCACTCACGTTCATCCAAGTCACGCGAGAACCGGTTGAGGATGCGACCGCCGGGGTTAGCGTCGAAGAAGCTCATCTTACAGCGCATCAGCCCGTCAAACATTCGATTGTGGACGGCCGTGGCACCCTTGATCACGCGCAGTGCGACTCCCAAACCTGCAACAAAGACAACGTAATGGCATGGTCCGCAATACCTTGATGGTAACGGCCAGGCTCGCGAGGTGCCGGCTGTAGCCCCCAGATCATTGCCATCGCAACGGCATTTCCTAAGCACGCGCGTATTCAAGATAGGTGCACAGGTGGCCCGCTCCCATATGCAATCGCTACGTGTATTCGCATGCATGATTGTAAATATCGCCAAAGCGGAAAACCAAGGAAGACACGCTAAAATGAGTGGGTTGAAAGCACGCAACCTTGTTTCACGCCATTCGAGAAATTTCACGTGCCTACGATGCACCAAATTGCCTTTTTCAGTCAAACCTGTTGAGTTATGCCCCTTGATTCTTAATCTGCAATCTCATCAACCATAACAGTGACTCTTAAATGATAACGCAAACAAAAACGACAACAATTTGGCCATTAACAACATCACCACGCGCCAAAAAACAAAGCTTTCTCTTCAGATAGGACATAAGCTTTCCTTTAACAACGCCGATTGCGCACATAACGACGGCCATCATGGAGTAGATGATCATGTGCTGGTGTAGGTCTGGATTGTCGTTGATGACACCGACCAGCTGCTCCGCAGTGTAGGTCATGTTGTACTCGGTCTGATTCCGGAGTCGTTCCTCCTGGCAACAATGGAAGAAGCAAAGCATTTACTACATTAGGTGGCGATTACGACACGAAACACCGTCACTTACGACAGCCTCTCCGTTTAGTTTAAAATCATGCGTTACCAACCTTGGAAACCAAATCCACGGTAGAAAAACGAGCTCCAGACTATTTATTATTGTATACATCGTTTATATTCGCACAGAGGCTCAACGCCGTTCCTGTGCGGATGACCCAGCAATCAGTCAGTATACGCACCATGAGTCCGTCGCCTGTGTCCAGCCAGTACTGAAGGTAGACGCCGTTGGCCGAACGGCTAACGCCGAAGAGGATGATCAGCAGCACGACTACCATCATGATGGCCAAGCCGGCCGGTTTCATGTACAGGTACAGCAGGCTGAAGAAGCCCAGTTTGGGCACAAAGCTCTCCTCTCCCGTCAGACGTTTCTTGATCTTCTCCACTTCTGTCGGGCACACAGCGAGCGGCGGTACAGCAGGTGAAATCCGAGCAAGAGGCGCGCGGCCACCGTCCACACTCCTCGGGCCATCATCTGCTGCCAGACAACACGACGTGCCGGCCAAACGCTCGCAACACCCGACTAGCGCAATCGCCATGCACTCCATTATCAGCGGCAATATGTGTCTTACACACCGTGCCGCCACACGAACTTAATGCCCTGCCCTCCCCCCCCCCCCTCTCCCCTTCCCCCGCTCAGAGCTACCTGCCGCGCGAACCCTCTAATATTACGCTTTGCTGAAATACGGCCGATATTCGCCAGGGTGCACCAGCACCCACGCACCCTCCTCGGTGGTGCCGCCGGGTGTCAGGTGTTCACTCGGCGCCTGGTGAGCCGACGTGGTCGTGTCGTAGCTGACCAGCTTGAAGTACTCCCCGCGACGCCCCATCAGCTCAGCGTGCGTGCCTCGCTCCACCAGACGGCCTTCCTTCATCATCAGCACCTCGTCACACTGGGACAAGTACTGATGGCAGACAGAAGCAGACATTGTCTCACTGGCTGGGGCGTACTTTCTCAACATGAGTTGGGGGCTGAACAGTGATAAATGACAAAACCCGCCCCCAAAATACCCGGCAACCTGATTTGGCCCCGATTGGCCATGTTCTGATCTTCTTTCTTCTTTTCTGATCAAAGTTGGAGGGGCTAAAGTCCAAGTCAGTCGCCACCCCCACCCAACTGAAAAACTACACCCCGGGATATGTAGTTCAATAGGTCATATAAACTGACAAAATCCGCACATGCCCCCGACACCAATACCATATACTGCACGTATTTTGGGTGACCAGCAAGCACGCCCGCGTGGTCGGTCTCGATGAATGAGATTGGCTAAATCGGATGAAGCTAACGTACCCCGCATTTCCTTGGATTAGCTATCCCATGTACGGGCTTACGGCCCATGTATGAAGCATGTCTTTGCTCATCGACCCATAATACATATTGATACAACTGTCTAAAAGTTAAGTACGTGACTCAAATACACGTCGATATCCCACCATGAAAAGGACCTACTAAATGTAGACACTATGCGCGCACGTAAGTGTGTCCTCTGAACTGAGCCACCTGCGTCCGGGGTAAATATTTTATCAGATAAGTCCCCTCTAATTTGTACTAAACACCATTCAATCCGTTATCAGCATGTTGTGCAATGAAAGACATCCGAGGATGGTACGCTGGCGCACAATGGACTTGAAGTCGTTAGCGCCTTTAAACACTAAATAGCATCATCACCATCCGAGGACGCGTTTACAGGGGTAAGCTGAAAAGTTATATAGGACGTCTGAGGAAAAATTTAGTTTGTGGTATATACCGTGCAAGTTAAGCTTTTGTGCTACAATGCTCTTTCCAATCGGTAACACGCATCGGTACGGAGACATCGGTCTAGGTTGGAACTTCAGAATCCATCGTCGACGGATATTGATAAGGATAGAGGTAGAGGCAGAGACAGAGATATAGAGGATACAAGCGTTTGCACGCTTGTTTCGTTGCGCTGAGTGAGAAAACGTACAA